AGTTGTCTGTCAATTTCTTTGATCTCTGCTTTGTTCTCAGAATTCTTGCATTTTTCTTTATACTGCTCCCTGAGTCCAGACAGTTTCAGACGAGACACGTTATCGAGGTTCATTCTCATCCATTTCAGGAAATAACACCTTTCTATCCCTGGGCTTGATATTGCGGCGATGAAGCATATCATAGCTGGTGACATTTCATAGGAGTTCTGTTGTTTTCGCAGTTTCTTTCTCTGTACCTGAAGATCACTTTTGTACTTTTCTATGTTTTCAGACCCAACTTTCTGAAGCCGGAATTCTTCCTTCTCTAAGCTTGTTAATTCCTTCCATATTTGGCCTTGCAAGGGAAGCTGGTCTTCTTTGTATTTAAGGATGTCTTGAATTTTGTCAGTGATGGCATCTGCTTTTTGTTTTCCAGCCTGGCACTCTGGAGAGTCTTCATCAACCAAGATTCCCAGTTCATGGGCAATGGCAGCCATCTGCTCTATTGGCATCTTCATCTTTGAATTCTTAACTACATCATTGACTGAGTCCCTCAAGCTCTTGACAAAGTCTGCAACATTTATGTCCTTTTTCTTCAAAATAATTTTGTCCTTAGTCAAGCACAACCCAGTTGCTACTTCTTTCAGAGCATCTGCACTGAAGCTCTTACTCTGATGGTTCCCCACCAAGAAGATCTGTGCCTTGTGGTTCTTGTTGGTAAGTAGACTGCAATCAGAGTCCAAGTTGTCAAAGAACACGAAAACCGCTGCTGATGTCTGACACAAAAAGGAGAATTGCGTTTCAAATGAAGCAATGTCCCCACGAAGATTAGCGACAGCAACTGGTTGACTGAAAACATCCAAGTTTTTGGTTCCACAGGGAAGGTACCAAGTAATTTCAGTCAATCCATTAGAGATTCTTCTTGGACTGTCACCACACTCCATATCGTGGTGAACAAAGGTGTCATGGTACTGCTGAGAATTACTCAGAAACTTATTGAGGATCTCTGACTTGGACAAGGAGCACTCACCTAGTCTCACAAAAGAGATCATTGGAATTTCAGAGAGAACGATCCTTTCTTCAGTGAAGCCCTTAGATTCTGAAAGTGACTGAGGTCTGTACTTTTTAACAATGTCTCTCATGGCCCACAGCATGAGCATGCACTGTTTTGTGTCACAGTTGGGAAGCAGCAGAGGCACAGAGAACTGACACATAGACATTTTTAGTGCCATTTCCTGCTGCACAAAACCATCAGAACACAGAAAGAGAGCAGTGATTATGTCGAGCGGGTTTACCATGTCAGCTGAATTTGGGCTGTCAAAGAGATTATCAAAATCTAAGTCTGTGATCCCTGATGCAGCATTACAGTTTGATTCTTGTACAGATGTACATTTCACATTCCTAGCTGTCACATTAACCATCATAAGTTGTTTGAGAAAATGCCATGGAAGGTCTGATTTACTCTTGGCAGGTTCATCAGTAATGGTCTTCTCATCAATCTCAAGTATGTTGCTGAGTGACAGTTTTTCTTTGTAGCGCTGCTCCAACCCCAGATCCTGCAATAGGCTCTCCAGATGTGTCTCTGTGGGTATAAAGATGTGTGTTATTTCAGAGTCTGTGCCAATGCTAGACTCAATGTACACATCCTCCTGGAAGTGTGTAGTTTACCGTATTACATCAAAAGGCGACCACAGCCTTTATCTGCCTCAATGGCAGTAGATAACAGACCTTTATTTGGAAAAGGCCTTTATTACAGCCATTAAGTACAATTGGTCCTGTTTCAGTACTACTCCTGTTTGCCCTGCTACTGCATTATGCTGTTAATACCAGCTTCACACTCAACCCTGTCTTTTTGTCAAGTTTTAAGCCCTGTGGTGTTTCAGTGGACAGAAACACTTCATTTCTTAACAGGGCTTTTATTGTGAAACATTCATTGGTATATGCAACAACAGTCTGTCACAGTCAAATGCGACCATTGTTACAGTTTGAACTCTCCAACACATTCCAAGTACATTTATTGGAAATATTCTCTATTTCTATTTGTCTGTATTTGGGGATTAGTCTTTATTTCTTTAAGTCAACCACACCACCCGCTGTTATCCAATAAATGGCTTTTAACAACCTACTGGTTTGTAGTAGTAAATTACATTACAATTAACTTTTGGTAATGTTTTGCTCTGTAGCAGTTGGGTTTTTTGTAGCTTAGTGAAGTATATAAGTTGAATTTGGTCTTCCATCAAAGTGTGGAGATGGGAGGAGATGACTCATGTCTGTCATAAGATAAATCAAATAGGTCTTGTGTAACATTGAAATGCAGTGTCTACAAAAAGTATTTACTGAACTTCAGAGTTTTAGCCCTTTATTGTTTCCCAACATTGAGTCATTGTCAATTTCATTTGGCTTTAACAGGAAATTACCCAAAAAAAAGACTCTTTCATGTCAAAGTGAAAACAGATTTACACTACTACTGGAGTCAGTTGTAGTCAACTGTAGTCTGTAGTCAACTGGAAGAAGGTTCTTAGGAATGAGGCCAAAGGTTAGCTTTTCGTCCATCACACTAGATGCTATGTTTGATGGACACCAAACCGTGCACATCATCATAAACACACTATTCCTGCATCATGATGTAAGGTTTTCTAGCAGCTGGCCCTGGATGCTTTTAAAGGTTGAGGGCACCATGAATGCAGCAAAGTAAAGTGAAATCCTAGTGGACAGCCTGTTTCAATCTGCAAGAGAACACTGACTTGTTTTCCAGTAAGATAATCACCCAAAGCATACAGCCAAAGCTCCCTAAAAGTGGTTTAAAGACAACAAGGTGAATGTTCTGGAGTGACAGAATCAGAGCCTCAATGCAAATGAGAATTTGCTGCTGGTCTTGAAAAGGTGTGTTCACTCTCCATCCCTGTGAAACTTGACAGAGCTTGTGTGGTTTTGCAACGAATGGGCTAAAAGTGCAGTGTCCAGATGTGCACAGCTGAGTCACACCTGTCCATATAAGCTCAATGCTGTTATTGTGGCCAAAGGTACATCTACTAAATACTGACTTGAAGGCAGTGAATCCTTAAGCAATAACTTATTTTACTGTTTTAAAAATGTTTTATATCAACAGTTGAAATTATTTTGTACAAATCAGTTTTCGCTTAGACATGAAAGAGTCTTTCCTTTTTCTAATAAAAGAGAAAAACTTGTATGTAATGGGTCCTTTCGTACCAACTTTTGCTGCAAAAAATTTACATGAAAATTTCTATAAAGTTCATAGAACTTTGCAAAACCCTACAGCTCTGCTCCAAATACTTTCTTAGTTATGACTTTTTGAAAACTAAGTTGAAGATTGTTGTGATTCTCTGTATGTGTATTGTAATATCATTATGTATACATGTGTGTGTGTGTTTGTGTTAGATATAGAACACAAAAAATTATTTGCAACGAAGCTGTTGGTGCTGAATGATTGTTGTTTTTTACTCAAATGAATACTTCTCTATTTGCACAAATGAACATTTCCACTAGTTTTTAGCTTTCTTGCAACCAATTATTATTTGTTGTTTGTTTTTTTTAGTAGTGTTGATGTAATTATGTTATTTCTTTGAAGTTATTTGGATATGCATAAACATGAGTGACAAATATAGAATTTCAGATAGATAGATAGATATTTCAAGAAACACTGATACATGTTATTCAATGGTTTTATTTCATAGATATTTTTACTATGTTGACTTAAAGGTTTTCTATCTCTGTGTGAAAGAAATTGAATCTATTTTTCATTGGGCTGTAAGTTACAGCTTCTAGCAGCTTGGTTTGTCACATATTATTTGATGTCGCTATTTTGTGTCTGGTCAAAATATCAATCTTAGTTCATCAGCTCAGTGTGCATCTTTACATGTGCAATTTGCATCAACCAGAGGAATAATACAACAAGACAGTGCTTGCTTTGTGTTGTTTGATCTACTCTGCAGCCATGTTCAACTGTTGTATATTGGGGATTTGGTGTAGAATTGGTCAGAATGATTTACATGTCAGCCCCCCCAGAAATATTTTCTTACTTGAGCGTGCAGGTGTCACAACAGACGTGTCCATGATCTCATCCTGCATTTTTTCAGGGGTCTGGATGGAGTTGTGTCCCTCTGGTCCCACGTTGTTGAGCGCTGAGCTGCTTGTGTCCGTTGCCTCTTGCACAGTTGTGATCACGATGTATTCCTCCTCTTCACCAGCAGGAGTGTCTAAATGCTGAGACACTAAATCACCGCTGATATTGTACACTGTGGTCTCCACATGAGGGCAAGAGGCTGTGGAAATAATAATGATCATGTTAATAATAATGATTGCATTGAGAGCCACTACAGACTATACATCCAATTGTTCCTTTCTGCGGAAACAATGAATTTCATAAAATGTATCACTTGTGTCAGTCTGTTGACGGTCATCCTTGCCGGCAACAGACTGACACAAGTGATAAAGGTCCCTCCATCAGCACATGCTGATGGAGGGACCTCTCCTCCCTCACAGCAAAGTCCACTTGTTGAATCTTCACCATTGAGTCTCTTTTGATAAATGAGAAAAACACTTAACATTTAATTGTCTCATACACACTATTTAATGTGGACAGTATTATTTTGGACATGTACAAAGTAGCTGTTTACCTCCATTATCGGTGAAGACTGTGATTCCATCCTTGTTTCAGATTGTTCAGGCAGCTTTTGTCTGAAAGTAACGACAGATAAGTCTTTATGCCTTTATTCCACATGAACTATAAATGTCTCACAACAACTTTATAAAACATCTCCTCTCCCACATCAACAAGAACGGTTCTTGCACCCCACTGAAACTCCAAATCATAGGTTTCAGTCAATGCGACTACAGCATCTGAGTGCAAGTGAACACAACAGCTACGCCCAGCAGAAGTCAGTCGCCTGTCCAGCTCATCTACAACAGCAAAAGGCACAGTTTGTGTTTTTAGTTGACGAAAACACACGTAGACCCAAAACATGAACAGGAGTAGAATTTAGTGTGTTGCTTCCAGCTTTTTGTCAGAGTCTTTTCTCTGAATTTATTACATACATGCATTAAAAACCTGCAGCAGCAAAATCCATACAAACAACTCCAACCTGAGAAAGGTTTGCGCATTTATGCACAGCACAACACAACATAGAGATAATATCCTTCATTACTTATATTTTTATCCCTAACATGTAACGGTAAATAACACATTTCATTGTACCATAATTAGTTTCAGTTGAGTAAATTATCGCCACACATGGATAGAAGTTTTAGAGTTAAATCATAAATGAACTGTGGATGTTTTGCCTATGGGTGAACTTTTTCCCATAAAAAACACAACACCATCTCGTCTCTAGAACTATTGTCACTGCTGGTTGCCCTAATTAACCAAAATGTACAAAACCTGTACCTGTATTAGTCTGTGCACCTGTCCAGGGTGTCCCCTGCCTTCGCCCTAAGTCAGCTGGGATAGACTCCAGCCCCCCCGCGACCCTAGTGAGGATTAAGCAGTGTATAGATAATGGATGGTTGGATGGATTTTTTTATGTCTCTCGCTGATATAGTTTTCAACTTTCTATCACACAACAGCATAGAACAATTCCTGACATTCAGGGCTGGGTTTTGGTGTTTTTAACACACACATGTTCACCTATAGGCCTCATAGACTTTGTTAGACATTGTTAGAAAGACACACCCAGAGTTTATTGATGTTTTCAGTGTTCATCATTGTGTCCACTGCAACTTATGGTACAATAGGATGTGTTTTCATTGTTACTTATCTACATGTCGTCACATTTTGGCAGCTACTGTATTGATGAGATTAAAATGTTTTTCTTTATATCAAGTTTGTTTATTAGGCAGATTTTTCAGTTTCACAGGACAATGTTTGCTGCAGTGACATTATTGTGAATATGGATGCATTACAGAACACAACGTATTCACAATTAAAACTGTAACAACACAGCAATGGTAGCAATTTATTGTACAATAATTAGCTGGAAATTGTTATCACACATGGACTGAATTTTTAATGCTGAAATTAATGATATACACTGAATACCATGTCTATGGGTAAACTTTTACTCCTCAAAGTATACTTCAACATTTCCTCTCCTGGACTCTTGATCCAGGTGGTTACTCTCATACCAACAACGCTGGCTGTAATTAGAAACGTCAATTATGGCATAAAATTAAAAAAGGTACATCAGCAGTTGGGGCTGCAAGGTAGCTCGGAGGTTAGCAACGTTGCCTCACAGCTAGAAGGTCGCCGGTTTGCATCCCAGTAAGGACACCCGGGCTCTTTCTGCGTGGAGTTTGCATGTTCTCCCCGTGCAGTGTGGGTTCTCTCCGGGTTCTCCGGCTTCCTCTCACAGTCCAAAAACATGTTGAGGTTAATTGGTGATTCTAAGTTGCATGTAGGTGTGAATGTGAGTGTGCTTGGTTGTCTGTCTCTAAGTGTAGTCCTGTGATAGACTGGCGACCTGTCCAGGGTGTCCCCTGCCTTCACCCTGAGTCAGCTGGGATAGGCTCCAGCCCCCATGGGGACCCTAGTGAGGATTAAGTGGTATACAGATAATGGATCGATAGATATCAGTATTTCATTTTCTCTCGTAGTGACTCAGTGTTCAACTCTCCTCTGTGTTGCAACAGCAAATCTGCTTGGTGATGATTCTAGCAGATATGAAAATGGTCGCAAAGACATGAAATATGGAACAAACTGGGCTGTTTGGGCTAAAACACACCTGACTCGCTCTGCTGAAGTTATGAAGTGCCAGTTTCCGTTCTGTCTGCAATATAATACATGTGACCAACCCAGGGCCGTCGCATGGACGGTGCAAGGCCCTGCTCGTTGAAATGGATGCACAATTGCTCGTGAATAACAGTCACACGGACACAGCTATTCTAGTTCTACTGCACGCACAATCCCGCTGCAATATGTTTCTATCAAGTATAATAATACAGCATAGGCATACACATAGTCTCAGCTATCACTTTTTGCTATTTATTTCAAAGACAAAAAGATCAACAGACGAACAAGTGGCTTTACATCAAGTCAGCTTGGTCACTTTATTGTTGGCATTTTGACATTTTAAAGAAGTAGGTTAGGACACTTTTATATGTATGTTCATTTTCATTACACTATACACAACATATTTACTACACTGTAACTCTAACAAATGAGATGGACTCACCATGCATTAATGCGGAAACTGTTAGAGTCACTTTTTTTGCCCAGTTGGCCGCAAACTCAACAACAAGATCTTTATAATCCAGTTTGGATGCAAAGTCCTTTTCAACTGACAGTAGGGCAAGCCCGCACAGTCTTCTGTGACATGGAGTTGCACAAATAGTTTTTACACACGTGGACAAAATTGCTGGTGCCCCTCGGTTAATGAAAGAAAAACCCATAACAGTCACAGAAATAACTTGAATCTGACAAAAAGAATAATAAATAAAAATTCTATGAAAATTATCCAATGAAAATCCGACATTGCATTTGAACCGTGGTTTAACAGAATTATTAAAAAAAAATAAACTCATGAAATAGACCTGGACAAAAATGATGGTACCCTTAACTTAACATAGTGTTGCACAACCTTTTGAGGAAATCACTGCAATCACTGCGATTTCTGTAACTGTCAATGAGACTTCTGCACCTCTCAGCAGGTATTCTGGCCCACTCCTCATGAGCAAACTGCTCCAGTTGTCTCAGGTCTGAAGGGTGCCTTCTCCAGATGGCATGTTTCGGCTCCTCCCACAGATGTTCAATAGGGTTTAGATCAGGGCTCATAGAAGGCCACTTCAGAATAGTCCAATGTTTTCCTCTTAGCCATTCTTGGGTGTTTTTAGCTGTGTGTTTTGGGTCATTATCCTTTTGCAAGACCCATGACCTGCGACTGAGACCAAGCTTTCTGACACTGGGCAGCAC